TGTTTTATTCAATCACTTCCGGTAGCGAATCAGTGTATCAAGTTAATGCTGCTATTCCCCTAGGTAAGTATAATACCAGTTTGCTAACCTCGGAAACATAGAGGGCTTGATGAGTGAGGACGAGAGATTGAACCACTGTGTATATGCGCATCGTAGAGCACTTCTAGTCGCTGGGCTGTTTAACAGATCTACTATGCGCTTCGCGCAGACGTATATATATATATATATATATATATATATATATATATATATATATATATATGCACATAGACGTAATCCACTGACTCGATTCAGCGGGAGGCCACCGCGAGTCACTATAATGGCCAGATATGCATTCAATCACTTCAAACGAAGTTAGAAATTGAAGGCGAGTGCATGGCGCATCCCTCAGGGATTGATCAACGCCGAGAGCTTTATCCTTTTATCCTCTTATTCATAGACTTGTATCCTAACATGTATATGCGTTACATAGAGATTTGCATTTAATATATATATATATATAATATATATACTATATTATATATATTATATGCATAAACGTATACATATGTATATATAAGCACCCACATACATATATTTACGCTTATACAATATATATGTAATATACATATATATGTATATATACGCATGTACAGATGCATAGTCATGATCATAATATATGTTAATCTGCTACAACGATTCCATTACAGCTTTTACTAAAGTATTACAAGCCGGTGTAAAGAAGACGTAATATCATGACAAGAGAATGTTCTGTATCACTTTAGGGACTTGTATACGCACTTTTAATGTACTGTATTCTCCGGACAACTTTCGCTTTTCAAAATATGCTAGTCTTATATGCATCAACTGAGAAGCGTATTTTAAAAAAATTACCGAGACAATAATTCGCTTTTCACAGCTTTCCGCTTTTCGTAGTAATAATTGCCATAACTTACAAACGACTTTCTCCTTATTCACTGAACACGTTTTTTTTTTTCATCGATGGTGATTGTTAGTGGTGCAAAATGCAAAAAATGTGAATATTGCATACTATTTCTGAAAAGTTTGGCAAAACTTATTCGGTTCTTGAAAAATTTACAATTTGTAAATGCTTATAGCAAACCTCCCAACGGAGTTTTGCTATCTTTTCGGGAATTACATGATAATTTAGGCAGCGCAAATGGTCTACGAACTTAGAGAGCAAGTGGTATCGCAGAGGCTCGAGGACCTTAGACAGAAATGGTCCAAGTGACGAGGGCGGCACCCAGCTGCCACCAACCTCAACAGTCAGTTCGATCGCGGGTCATCATCCGTACGGTCGTCTGACATCACCCGGACCACCTCACCTCAGTACATTGTCGATCCATTATTGCTCTCTCTACACAACCTCGTTGTCTTGTAACTAATTACTTTCATAAGGTTGCATTCATACAACTCAGATGAATTCAATAGATTGTGAGCGGAACATAGTACTTCCGTGGCGGAGCAAACTAACTTTGGCTATGCTCGGCCCATCACCGCGGTTTAGGGATTCTGCCCATATCTAATCACTAGCGACCCCACTGCTAACACTATATACTCACCCACTGGATCCCGCCGTCGGTGTTCTACTTGGGGGCGAGCATAGCAATCCCAAATGGGCTCCGCCGCTTAGTCATGCTTCGACAATTACGAAACATCTTCAATTACAATAACATCGTCAATTACAATAACATTGTCACTTGTCATAACAATGTCAAATGCAATAACAATGTCATATGCACTTACTATAACATCATCACTTACGATGACATCATCACTTACGATAACACCGTCAGCTACAATAACACCACTTGCCATAACACTGTCCTCGATACTCCTCATCAGTCGGTCACCCATATTGACTTACGCATATGTTCGCATAACGATATGTCGTGATCATATATATATATATATATTATATATATATATATATATATATATATATATATTATATCATCATTTTAGTAATGCATGTGTATTATAGGTTGTTTGGTTCTACCACATTGTTTGGTTTTACCACATTGTTTGGTTCTACCACATTGTTTGGTACCACGCCATTGTTTGGTTCCATCCTATTGTTTGTTATAACCCGTATAAACCACTGAACCTTCACAATACATTACAAATCCACTGAACCACCACATAAATATAGTACATCGGCTACAAACCTTTGCTACAATGCTCATAACGGATAACAGAGACAAATGTAGCATGAAGCGAGGTTTCTTTGATGTATGGTGTGTAGCATAGTAAATAGCGGCATATTCAGAGAAGGTGTCGTTTTCCCGGTGAACCAAGCCCTCATCATTCCTAGCTCAGCAGATCAATATGGTACTTGTCCAGAGAGATAAGAACACTGTTTTAATATAGCTTTCAGTTTGGCAAGTTATTGAGCAAGGTAAGCACACATTCAATCACCTCTACGACACTTAATAAAGATTTCTTACATAGTACATATAACACAGAGTTGAGCCGAGAACTGTAATATTATGTAAGATTTTATTGATCTATGGTGTGCAGCACAGTATCTGAAGCACAAAGCATTTTCAATGGAGCATTCCCAAGCGATTGATCAGAGTCAGATGTTCCTTTTCTCCTACAACCGTGAAAAGTTTTGTTTCATCTGTCAGATGGGGCACTACACTTCATCATGCAGTATTCAAAAAGTCTCATCGGTTTTAAGAAAACTAGAAAGCGGGATAATAGTTTTAAGTGGCCTGACACGTATCCTGAGTCCTCGAATAATTTCAGGACGCAGCACAGAGCCTTATCTTGAAAATTTGCTACAAGAAGAAATTTTGAAAATGACTTTATGGACAATGCTTAGTTTAACTTTGAGCAGAGAAGCAAACTAAATGCAACAAATACTTTTCGTTTCGAGTGTGTTCTCAAGACCACGCTAAAATCGCAACTTATCTCGTAATTATTACTTAAGCCAACTTTAATGTGGCTTCTGTTAAATGGCCTGACTTATACAGCCCCCTACGCGTGTTTCGACCTTGATGATCTCATCAGTCAGCCCATTTATCAGACTATATGGCATGCTGGCTCAAATATAAATTACGAGATATGTCGAAATTTGAGGTGAGCTCAAGAAAACACTCGAAACGAAAGCTATGATGTACTGACGATACCAGCCAAGAGCAATCGAATGTACAACACTGTCTCTTCGGTGATAATTTCACTTGACAGACAGTGTAAAATGTTCTTCGCTTCTTCTTAGTATATGGGCTGAGCGCTTCACAAGGATTGGCAAAAGACGAAGGGTAATGCTCGACTGATGAGAGTGTCAAAGTCGAAACATGTGTGTCGGGCTCATGAAACAGGTCATTTAACAGACCACATGATATGTTGGCTCAAATAATAATTAAGGAGAAACAAATACTGTTTTTCTAATTCTTTCAGAAAAGCGTTAACTGATAAGCGGTCATAATGCGAGAAATCTTTTTATTTATGTTTGGGTAAGGTGGTATCACAGTTGTGGCTTAAAAAGCGCTCATCACTAACGCTTCGTGTTATTTTGGTGGTGGGCCTGAAAAATTAAGCTGTGTTGAGAGCTCGCATTATAATTTATGCATATCAAATTTTTTTTAAACATTGTTTTTAGACAGCTAGAGAACCTGAGGATTTTGGAACTCAGCAGGCCTTCCTCAGGCACTTTGAGGATATGCGTAGCACTACTTTACTATCTCATAATTATTATATGATCGACATGTTATGTGGTCTGTTAAGGGGCTCTCCTACAGCCCGATAGAGATGTGTCATGATCATTTATGGAAATATCAATACAATAATTCGTAAAAACTGAATTTTATACAGGCGCCACGGAGAAAGATCGAGAGTGCAACGTTAAGTCAACTAACTGTGGGGTGATCAGTCATAGTGCTTTTATTCATGCGATGAGCGGAATTTTATCAAAACAAACTAATCAGTGTTCTGAAAGGGATTCTAGAAAGTTCTAGCCAATACAATATAATAGAACAGCTTTGAAACAGGATACGGTAAATGCAAGGAGAGCATCAAATAAGACGATTTACGAGAAGCCTCGCACACTCAAAAGTACATCAGACAGAGATATAATAGCTTCAAGAAAAAAAATTTATGCGAAAGAGGCCCAATAGCTTGTATAAAAACACCTGTGGAAATAAATCAACCACAGATAGTTTATTTGAATTTGACTACTAATTAGCAGTTAACGTTCGTTATTTTCTAGAAATGCTATCTATTAGAAGTGTTAAGGAGGTAAACCAAGAAGAGAATGAAGGCTTTAATGAAACATTAACAACATATTGTCCCATAACCAGAAAGCTTTCAATAACGCTCGGCCTGTGATTTTAAAGAAATTTACACTTCGATGCAGAGAACAGGTAGGTTCCGGTGTAATACTTATAGTAAATGACTCGGGATCGATTGTGAGTAAGAAAAACAAGTATGCAGGATGATGCGTCGTATGAAGCGGCACATGAGTGTTTACATTGTGAAAAGATCAATCGTTACCCACTTTAACACTTTAGTGACAGCATGACTCACAATGAACCTGACCATTCATTGCACCGCTATTTCTGTATGCATCGGAATAATCATTTATCTAGTAATCAGTGATCAGTGTCTTGGGATCACTGTTCTATTGCTCGGTTCGGTTCAGTTCTGTTCGATTTCTTGTTCTCTTCAGAAAAAAATTTCTGCGAAAAAGAAGGCGAATTTGAGTTTAGAGAGAAAGGGATGACAGTCACGTTATTCTGACGCATAATTAAAAATGAAACGATTTTTTCTAGATCCTCGGCCTCATAAAGTTAATACAAGCCACAGAAGTGATAGAGCTTTGTAGACAGAAACATGACCATCATAAGTTTCTAAGTTTTCAAACTCGTTCAGGAAGTGTACAAGTGCAAAAAACCTTGCTCAATTACTCTAAAGATGAACGTCCCTCAGGTTAAGTTGGAAACGGCGATGTTTCTCCACCATTAACTTCATGACGCCATCATTCATTCTTCGAGTGTACCTCGGTGACGTAGTGGTAGCACGAGTCCCCGGTATGGATGAAACGCAGGTTCGAATCCCGTCTGAGGTCGTATTTTCGCTCACCACTCAGTTCTCTTAGGTATATATGAAACATAATAACACTGTGAAAAAAGCGGTAGAAGCACTATAAATTTCGAGTGTTATTTATTACAATGACTGTTAGCTCAACTGGGTTTAGAAAGTGAAATCGCATACCCGACCAAAACTGTTAGAGGTTGGTCGCTGACTGCTATCATAAAGATATTGAAGAATGAGTGAGGCGCAAATGTACGCCGCCGTGGTGTAGTGGTAGGACCGGTATGGATGAAAAAAGGGTTCGAATTCAGCCTGAGGTCACATTTTTTTGCTCACAACTCAATTGTCTTAGGTATATATGAAACATAATAACACTGCAAAAAATGTAATAAGGACACTGTAGCTTTCGAGATTCACCAATATATTGACAAATTCGGAATGTGCTCATCAGGAAAACATCGAGTTAGTGGATCAATGCTGAGGTTAACAGAAGTCTATTCCTGGTAATAAAGTACATAGTACTCATCTACTGGTGAGAGTGTTCAAGATCTATACATAAAGTTTTAGAGATTGAACCAAAATTTTTTACTAGCACCATAATTTTGAACGGTAACATGATTCAACAAGCGAGAGTTCAGTACCTTTCTTGTTCAAAAAACCACTGGTTGGTGAAGCACTGCTTATTCAGTGGGTAGCCAATGGCTGCGACGAGACACTGCTTCATGTCTCGTGCTTCATGTCTGAATGTTTCAGTTCAGTCAAGACATGAGGACTGTAACCAATTTCGTTGGCATACTGAATAACGCTCTAAGGTAGGCTTTTGTAGAGAAGATTTGTGCCTTATAACTCGAAAACATCTAGAGCGACAGAGATTATTATGACAACTGTTCATCCTTCGACTACTGCACTGATTGACGATGATGACTTAAAAGCCAATTTGAGTGGATTTAAGAAGAATTCTTGGCACGGATCAATTTTTAAAAAAGGCGTTCCGCATTCTACTTTATTTAGAGGTGTGAAGATCCCTTGCGGACGGCCCTAGAATCGCTGGGAGCAGTGCGATATGCAAGCGGTGTGCGATTTTCGTTAGATAATTAGAGTTTTTACCGTTCCGAAAAGAATCTCCAAGTTTTTCATTCTTTGAGTCTTTTAATGTTTTATGTTTTTCAGTGTATCATTTCATATTTTTTCGCGCATATGCAATTCATGTGTGACTGAAAAGTGCTCCTTTACTATGCATACTGCTGTTGGCATTAACTCAACTGTTGTATAGGTAAATGTTTTCGTTGTATAAGGTTGTATTTGTCGTGATTGTATGAAAATTTTTTGACATTAATCTTCTACACGAAAGTTCTAGTATTTTTACTGCATTTTTTCGCAGTGTTATAATGTTTCATATACACCTAAGAGAATTGAGTGGTGAGCAGAAAACGCGGCCTTCAGGCGGAGATCGAACCCGCGTTTCATCATCATACCGCGGCCTTTTCGCTCACCACTTAATTCACTTAGGTATAATACAATCTTAATAATATTTTTATATTTCATATACAATCCAGAAGTCCGTATTGTGATGGGAATTGGAAAATAATGATTGTCTGTGAAAAGTGCTACTGTTCATTGCATGCGACTGTTAGTTCATAGATAACTCTCAACAATTTTCATCATTTTTGGGGAATTCAGGGGTTGAGAACTTTTTCAAATACGCAAAGAAAAGTTTTATCTATCATTTTATAAGTTTGAACCTCTCGATAGATCCACATATCGTATTATGAACACCACAGCAACTTTCATCACTGGACATGCATTTTAATTTTATTAACATTTCATTTAACGTTGTTTAGAAACTTTCAGGTGAATGTTGCCAGGGTGATTTATTGCACCTCGGATGGGCTACCAATCAACTTTAGGGACCCCATGGTCTGCTATTTGCTTCTGATGGAATTCCGTTGGTGCTTATACCAACATAAGTATTTTCTCCTCCTGCATGATTGGGTTTATTCCAAGTTATTTGATACTTTTGGAGAAAAAGTCCTGAGAAAATGCTTCTAACCTTTTTTGGGCGTCAGCCATTTTCTGTGTTTCTGGGCTCTTTTGAAAGCTCTTCTTCTCGCGCGCGCTGATTAGTGTATAATTTATCTACTTATTTCAAGATGGAGTTAACAAGCGACCCCCAAGTTAGATTGATGCGTTTCACATTGCCACCATTTCATTCGAGCCGAACAGCCAGTTCGTGTATCAGCAACAATCTAATTTGCTCTTTTGTTAACTCCATCTTAGTAGATAAATTATAACCATCAACGCGGTAGAACACTGGTTTTCAAATGAGGCTAAAAATACAAAAATTGGCCGACACCACAAAAAAGTTACACGACATTTTTCTCAGAACTTTTCCCTAACCTATTAAAAAGTTGTTCTAAACTTCAACGCAAGAAGGGTCGGTTACCTGCAGGCTGTTACAAATCCGCTAATAATAGAAATTCTAGGAGGAAGTCGTTCTAAAATAAGTATTCTTTAATAGAAAGTATTTCATGCATTCTTATGAAGACCCTGAAATACTGCTCGATCTCCTGCTGGCAAATGATGACGAAGAGGAGGTCGATGATGAAACCGATGACATCATGGAAAACCAATGCACTTGTCACAGATCCTGGTTCTCAGGATATAGACTTGGAATAGACGACGAGCAATGATATGTTTGAAAGATTAGAAAGATAATCAGTGACTGCTGGAGGAAAGTGCTATCGTTCAACAGCCTACCCTTTGATGGGAGAGATGCAGGTGTCTAGATGAGGAGACAAACCATTCCGTGATTCTCTTTTGTTCAACAAGTACAAGGCTATTGGTACACGTTTACCTTGTACAAAATAGTGTAGTAGAGTTTGTATCAGTAGTCTAACGTTTCGACAGTCTTGCCTCCTTCAGAGCCTGTAAATAGTCATATTAAAGTGCAGTCTACATAACCAAACGCTTTCACAACCAAGGCAGAGCAATGAGAGCTTTAAACGAAATTTGAATCGTATAGAAATGACTTAATTTTATTATTTCAGTTTTTCCATAAAAGAGAGTTGAAGTGGTTTATCATGTCCCTTTCTTTACGTGCGATTATAGTGTGATTTTCCACAGACTCCACAGGCCAATTCTTTCCATCACATTTAGCCGCGACATCTCGTCATGAGCATCAATACTTTCAACAAATGCTTAAGTTGGAGTAGCTCTCGTTCAAGTCTCTGAGTCTTCCTTTGACGTGACTCTGGTCAGAACACTGCTGTTGGCACATGATATCAAATGAATTGTTTCGTCAGTGGAGCAGTGTAATCTAGAGTGGCAACATTATTATAAGCCATGAGTTAGCCAAACAGCATCACTTCTTTATTCGTACTGAAGATGTAATAATGTGACTATATTAAATGTTTGATAGGAGGCTCAAAAATAGTCGTTGAGATGTGATGCTGTTTTTTTTTATTTCTCAACGAGAAAAGCTTCTTATCAATAAATATGTAATATCTGTAGACCTGTATTGACTTATTGACTTTATCATTAATAGTATAAAGATAATGGTTTATAACAGCATCAACAGAAAGTATTTAAATGAACAAAAAGAGATATGGCTCATTTTACTAACCATACCCACTAACAGATGTAGCCGAATGGATGATATTTTGTTCGTGACAATCTTTATATGGCTCACGAAGGATCGTGGCGGCACAGAGTAGGGACTCTCGGGTTTTCCAGGAGCGTCTATAAACGCTCCTGTTTCCACAGAAGCATAGGCTTTCTTCAAATCGATGGAAATGAGACAGAGCGGTAGTTTGCATTCTCTGTGAAACTTCAACGAGTTTTGTGACAGGGGGATGTGGTCCATGGTACTAAATCCTTTTTGGAACCCTACTTGTTCGCATGGCTGTCCTTCGTCCAGTGTTCTGTCGATCCCTGTTTGATGTATGACTCGATGCCAAAGTGCATCTGCTATTATTTACATAGTATAATCTAGATGGTTATGAACACCTATTGAAAGAAGGTTGGCGCATCAGAGAGAAGACCACAGTGAGATTTTCATTTCATATCTCTCAAACTGCTCATCTTTGAAGGAAAAACTACATCCTCAAAAACACTAAAGCATTCCAAACTATAATAGGACAGCTCTAGCGCTCATGTTGGAAGAGTGTGATTTACGAACACACTTTTTACAAGGTACGACTTTGAATCAAAAAACCTCTTTAGAGGTGTTCTTATTATTGTAGCAGTAGCCAGCCTCTAAAAGAGTTCACACCCCCGCCACTTGTGGGAAACGCTAAGACTGAAAGGTGATTTATCGACTTCGTTCAAAAGGCCTTTTAGAAGGGGCTCCAGTTCAGATAGAAAAACAGATTAGAAACTCTGGTTATAGACTACACAAGTAATTGCCAGCAACCGTTAGTAAATTGTTGACAGAAATTAAATTGTTTTTGATTTGCTTAATACTTTTATTATCGAGAATTTCAAATAGTAGTGATTGTAAACGTAAAAATAAATCCATTGGGTGACTATTTAATGACAGCAGACAATTCAAAATTTGCTCGCCTTGCACTGTAAACAGATTATTCTCGCTCTGATTCAACTGTTACTAAACATGTTTTATAGCAATAAGAGAAGTACAGACATCACTAAGGTTTTAAAGGGAACATATTGCACGCAATGGCCACCTTATGTCTTCTTCAATGTTACAGAACTACATTGCTGGTGCGCTGTGGAATGGTTAGTGAATGCTTTCCTCATTTATGCTAAACTTTTGATAGACCCACAAATTACTTCAGCTTTTCAACCCGGCCACTCCAGCGGGTAATTTTCTAAAATCACTGGCGCCGGCAACATCCAAAATCCGACGTGATGGACAACAACTACCGCCCGAACGATCCACAACACACCGCACATGAAACCGCATGGACGATTGGACAAACAACACCATGTGGACGATGGACAACAACAACAATGAACGCTGGACAACAACACCGCGTGGACGATGAAACGACAACAACAGGTGTACAATGGCCCTAC